TTCGTCACTCCAGATAATTTTATGAAGAAATTCATTATCATCTGCACATCTAGACAGGTACCACCCACAAAATTCAACCTTTCGATCAGAATCTTCTTCATTGAGAGAAATGAACAAGCGCTGGAATAAAACCTCATCCATTGAACATGCTTCAAAATGCGATGAACGCTAGATTTTGGAATACGTGCTTCATGTGAAATTTGGCGAACTGATTTTTTCGGAGAATTCTGGACATTATCAATAATTCTTTGCACACTTGTTGGGCTTGTTAATGATCTGTGTCGTCCAGAATGGCTCTTTCTCATACACAGGATGCTTCCATGCTCCTCAAAGTTAGCTAAGATGCGCGAAATAGTGAAACGTGACGGCGCATTTCAGTGAAACTCTCTTGTGTAGCGTCTTTGTACTTCAGCTTTATTCTCATATTTCCAGAAAGTTTTCTAAATAATTTTTTTGTGCTGGGTATGTCAATTCAGTATCCTCCATCATCAATGGTTAGTCAAATCTGTCTGAAGTGGAAAAGAATATATTAACTATTAATATTTAAAGAGTGTATACATTATTTTGGGACACCCCTATATATATATATATATATATATATATATATATATATATATATATATATATATATATATATATATTCAAAGAAGAATCAGCAATATGATCGATCCAGATCTGATGGCTCCGCTTCAGTCAACTTCCCACCGTCGTTAGGTAGCCTCCCTTTGTCTTTTCTATAAATATTTTTATGGTAATTGTTCGGTTGAGCTCTTCGCTATGGTACCTCGAATTTATGAATTTAAGCGTAATATTAGACTGGAACAGATATCTCATCAATATACAGTTGAGCTGACTAAATATAAATTCTATGCTAACAGTTTCTTTTCTCGCACATGTCGCTTTCGGCCAATTGTTTTCCTGACAAATTTAACCTTCAAATATTTCAATCGCTTTCTACTCTCTTCCTGATTACTCTTTTTGTTCCCGCTATTTATTAAAATTTCTCTTTTGAATTCTTCCACACCCGGTAACCCCTTGTATCTTAGTGGCTTTACTGACTTGCATGGGGTAAAATATCGATTACACACACACACACACACACACACACACACACACACACACACACACACACACACACATATATATATATATATATATATATAAGGGCGTACAATGGAAATGACTAATTAAGGATATGATAGTTGCCACTGAAACGTGAAACGTTTAATTGAGCACATGCTTGGCACGTTTTTAACAGATCCAGAAAACATTATATTTACACTACATGTGGTTTTGTTTTAAAGATAGTGAGTACAGAATAAAAATATCAACTATACATTTGTGTTAATTCTATTTCAGTTAAGTGAATAATTTATATATATATATATATATATGTGTGTGTGTGAGTGTATGTGCGTGTGTAAAATATAGTTTTAAGGTGTGCTATATTTATGTGTTAAGGTGTTCAAGATCAGGGATAGAGCGTATTTAAATATAAAAGGCGATGTGCCAGACGATTGTGTTTAGCATGAAACAGATTGTCGAACTCTGGGTATTAACTTCAATGTCCTCTTATATAATAATAATAATAATAATAATAATAATAAAATTATAGTTTAAAGTTATTCAATATTTCCGATTAAATGTATTCAGTATAAGGGAGAGAGCTTATGTAGATATAAAAGTAGACACTGAGGTCAACGCCAAGAGGCTGCTGTCTGTTTCATGCTTTAGCACAATCTTTAGGCCAAGTGTCTTGTGTTTTGGCTCAGCTAATTATATATGCTGGGCAGTGGTGCATTATGGGTAGTATGGTTATATTTCAAATTATTCCAGAATATGTTTTCTTGATCTTACTTGTTATAAAACGCAGATTGTGTGTGTGTGTGTGTGTGTGTGTGTCTGTACGTTTATATATTGGATCGGATTTCCTACATTTTTCAACCGATTTCAACAAAACTTCACAGGAGCGCGTAAAATTAACTTGCGGTGGTTCTGACAGCGCCCAAAATTAGAAAAACTTAATTGTTTTTGCACGAAATTAATTTGAAAACACGATAAAACACGATTCTGTCGCCAGAATGAAAGGGGGACAACTCATATCGAGTTATACTTATAAAACCCAGGTTGTTTGTGTGTGTGTGTGTGTTCGTTTATATATAGGATCGGATTTCCTACATTTGTCAACCGATTTCAACAAAACTTCAATTTTTTTTGTCAGGTAGTGTTATTGTCTTGCACACTTTTTTCTTTATTTTTGCATTCAGAATGCTTTAAAAATTCCATTTGCAAGACAATTGTTTATAATAAAATTCTATTCAATCAATAGACTCACAACAATTGAAAACAATGTTTTTGTTTGAGTTTGGGTTTGACCAATTCATAAAAAAACAAAACAAAAAACAAAACAAAACAAAACAAACAAAAAAACTAATTAAGACATGCGTGTCCGTCAACCTTAAACAATAATCTTTGTCAATTTTATTTTTCAGTCTTTATG